GTACTATGATTTTACACTTCGGCACGATCAGAAATCACAGCCCGGTTTTGTGCAGAACACCTAACAACAGAAATTATGCGCCCCCGCGATGGTCCGCAGAATAGCTTGTAGCAATACTGAGTCGTATGTGAGTCTTTTTGCTGGCATTAGGTACCGAACTGGGTCAGCTGGGCAGCTTTTATCGAACGAATGCACCGTCATCCTAATTTTGTCCCTGTTTAAGAGGATACCCTGAGAAGTATTATTATTATGCTAAATATCAATTGGTGCAGAGTAAACTTGGTCTCGTAAAACTTACTAAATATTTGATAGTTTCATTCAACCTACTGCCTCTGACGCAGTTGGTTTCGCAAAGACTCTACCTCCTTCCTTGGAACAGTAATTTCAAAACACCGGTCACCTCATTGCTTAAACTTGCACAAAATCTGCATGCACATTACTTTTTAATATGAATTCCTTTTATCTGCATGCTTTGGAACGCCGCCTCCTAGATGCACACCCAAAATTTCTCTGAAACCGTGATTCGAAGAAGGAAAACTATAACATAATGTTTTAGCAGTTGATGGTACTTATTCGGGCACTTGAGATCTCCACAAACAGCCAAAGTTCAAGAAGTTTTTCAACAAACTAGGGGTCAACTCTGCGCGCGAAATTTGTATTTTAATGGTTGCCGGTGGCTTGGAGCATTGTCGCAATAAAAATGGTGATAAACTTTGTGGAAAGCTGGTTGTTCGCGTGTTGTCTTACGCAGTGAATTTGAAAATAATCTCAAAACGACTTATACAATAATCACGCCGATTATGTCCGCGCATACTCAAATTGAAGCGGGCATTCGCGATCTGGATATGGAAAATTCTTGTATGGTTGCGACAAGCGTCCTGCCGAACCGAGAAATTTGCCACGGCTAGTAAGTATTTTTTGTTTTTTTTATGATGGTCAGCATACCTTTTATCCGGCTCAAGGCAAGGTTTGGTGTTCACCAAAATACCGAGCCACCAATAGTGCTGTTCGTTGAACTAATAGGTTCGTAAGCTGATCAAGCAGACGGTGCGGTCAGACGGTCACTGCTTCTAAGTCCTTGCGCAGATTAAACGGACCGAAACGATCTCGTAGGAAACACGCTCGTCTGGGAAATATTAGCCATAAAGTGAATTACGGGCAAGCCGTCATACCGGGTATGGTAGTCGCGGTACCGACATCGCGACGCCGTGCTTGGGTCCATGGACAGCTCCGTACATGAGCATCTTGGATGAGCCGTTTAAAGTTGTCATTGCATTTAAGATATCAATGAAGGGGTCACAGTGGTTCATTGCTGCCACTGGGGACATAAAAGTGGGAGTGTCCAAAAGGTTTGCTAGAAAGCACATTTATGTAAGTTAGAATGCCTCCCAAAATAACAGACGGTCAAAAGTTGTCACAGCTCCTAGCTACTTCAGTGGGGCTCCACTGGCTAATTTCAAAAACACCGATCGATATTTACATGTAGATGATAGGCATGTGGTCGATGCGAAGTGATGAGGACGTGTGTGAGTATTAGGGACGCGCGTTGCCTAGATTGTGCCCAAATAAGTTAGCATGGAACTTGCTAAGACACGAGATCAGGGATATATGTCGGTGTTTGCCTGTTCTTAAGATGAGCTGGCCTCAGAATGAAGCTGTTACAGCTCAAAGAAGAGCGTGGAGTTTTGCAACATCAGTTGCTCATGAGGCGTCATATCACGTGTATTTGGTGAGTCTCCGTTAGCGTCTTTTGCTCTTCTATCAACGATGATGATGATCATGTCCTCGTGTGAGTATTAGGGACGCGCGTTGCCTAGATTGTGCCCAAATAAGTTAGCATGGAACTTGCTAAGACACGAGATCAGGAATATATGTCGGTGTTTGCCTGTTCTTAAGATGAGCTGGCCTCAGAATGAAGCTGTTACAGCTCAAAGAAGAGCGTGGAGTTTTGCAACATCAGTTGCCCATGAGGCGTCAATATCACGTGATTTGGTGAGTCTCCGTTAGCGTCTTTTGCTCTTCTATCAACGATGATGACGATCATGTCCTCTATGGTGCATTTTGTTCCCACAGTGTCACGTCATCGTGATGATTTTTATTCCAATAGGTGGGTTACGTTCCGTCCGGCATGATCATAAGATTATAGTTAGATTAAAAAGCGAGTTTGTTTGTTGTTGGAAGGGCAGATTTGCGAGTGTGCTATCAAACCGCGTGTATCGGTCGAGTGACGCGTAATACCAGAACCTCCGGGTAGGCAAAACAAAGTCGGAGCTGGGTTCCTATACGATACTATTAGGGTGAGAGAAATTCATAAATTATACAAACCTCGACGGTGGATACGCGTC